CCTGCCTTCCTGTTGAGGTCCCTCAGTCTGTTCCGTGCTTCTGTCTCTGGATCTATTTTGTTCATCAGATTATTTTGTTCGTTATATTCCATATATGAGTGAGATCATGTGATACTTGTCTTTCTCTGACTGGCTTATGAAATGTTGGTCTTTTCAGATGACTCAGGGAGTGTGCATGAGCTGAGAGCAAAATATGATGCTGTTATTTACTGAATCGACCTTCCTGGGTTATTTGTAACCTGGCCAGTCGGGCACAGAATCAGTTACAAAGTGTGGGCATCTCAGCCGTCCCCTCCCTTCCCTGCCAGTGTTGGAGTCCCCTGGGGGCTGTATCAGTCAGGAGCACAGGTGCAGCACTGGGGAGTTTAGTAGAGGGCATTGCTAGGCAGGGGCTGGAGAATGCAGAAGCACGAAGGAGGCTCTGAAGCAACTGAGAGATACTAACTGCAGGCAATGACTTCCACTCCTAGTAGGGAGCCAAGGGAAGAGGTTGGGGTGATTAGAACCTAGAAGCCTGGAGGAGAAACCTCTTGTTGTGGATGCTCAGTGTGCCGCCCAGATCCTGCTTTAAGACTGAAGGGAATGAGCTTCCTGTGCTGCAGGCTGACAGCCCTCAGGGGCACCGTCTACGGAATGTCCTTAGCTGGGAAGGGTTGGCTCACCCAGGATCACGCCCTCCCTCCCCAGGCAGGTTGCATCCAATGACTGGTCCATGCAGGGTGTGACCAGTGGGGACAACACTGATGGATCATTCTCCTCGTAGGCGTTGGCTGAGCCCTGGATCGGGACAACTTCTCCTTCAACCAGTCCTGCTTCTTTCCCTTCTCTTCCAGAGGTGAGGACCCTGGGACCACTCCCTAATACACCTTCTGCATGCTAATCCCGACCTCAGAGTTGGCTCCCCAGGGAACAGAGCCTGGGAACCCCTCCTGGAAACTTGGACCTGCTGGAAGGGAGTACCAGCTGGTGCTTTAATCTCAGGGCTCTGAAGAGGGGCCCTGTGGAGCTGAGACTTGCACCTGAAGGGCTGCCGCCCAGCAGGCAGTGCAACGGTGCTCATTCCGCAAATGTAGAAAGAGGCTGGAAGCTGGAACTGCTACTGGACCATCTTTGGATAAAGTCACCAAAGGCTGAAACCCAAGAGAATCTTCAGCCTTCACGTTAGCATCATTTGATTCTGTTGACTGCTCTCTTTTTGAATCGCTTCTCCTGTTGACTTCTGTGATGCCACGTATTTTTGGTTTTCTTCCTGTGCCCTTGTCTGCTCCTTTGGGTCACCTGTACAGGTTTAGTCTTCTCCCACTTGCTAAAAGTTGTAGTTCTATCATTAGTCACTAGGGAAAGGCAGGTCAAAACCATGACAAAATAGTGTCATACACCTGTATTAAAATGGCTAAAACTAAATGGCTGTGATGAAAAGACTGACCATAGCAGGTACTGGTCCTAGGAGGATTGGGAGCAACTGGGACTCTTGTACATCACTGCTGGGGATGTAAAATGGTCTTCCCCTTTGCAGAGCAATTGGGCAGTTCCTTTAAAAGTTAAACATGTGCCTGCCCTATGATCCAGTCATTCTACTAGATACTTACAAGAGAAATTAGAGCGAGTCCTCACAAATACTTGTACCCAAATATTCACAGGTGCTTTATTTGTAGTAGCCCCAAAGTGAAAACAACCGGAATGTCCGTAACTTGGTGAGCCATATAAACAATGGATATTATTTGGCAGTGAGAAGGCAGGAACTCTTGATACATGCGACTAACAACATGGGTGAAACTCAAAGCAATAGGCTGACTACAAGGAGCCAGACCGAAAAAGTCTACGTTGTGTAGGATTCTATTTATGTGCAGTCCTAGAAAGCGAGAACCAGGCTACAGTGACAGAAAGCAGATCAACGGTTGACTGGAGCGAGGCGGTGGGAGGGGTTACAAAGGCACAGCAGGTAACTTTGGAGGTGATGGGTATGTTCATGACCTTGATATATGGCAAAGCTCATCCAAGTGTACACTTCCAAGGCGTGCAGCTTATTGTGTGTCCGTAACACCTCAAGACAGCTGTTAAAAATAGTACCCTTGGGGCTAGTCCTAGACTTCGAGACCAGTGCTCCTCTGTTACTCCACATGCCCAGGTTTTGTGGCCTTGCCTTTGGTCTCAGGTGGGATCACCATGTCCATCCCACCATGGCAAATACTAAAAACAGTTGCTCTGGAATAGAATCTCCACAGTTGTTTTCCATTCATTCTAAGATGGATGCTTTTTCATATTTTAGCATTTATTCAGTTGGAGTGCATTTTAAATTGACAAGTACTTAATAGAGTTTCCTTTCCCCCTTGAAAGCTCTTAAAACTACGGTGTGCCTTACAGTAATGGTGGAACCTGGACATAAATCACAGTGAAACTCTGTAATTATTTCTCAGAAAGCAACAGTACTTGGAATAAATGGTAGAAATTTCTCTTTCCCTTGGGTTGCATTCTTTCTGTTTTACACAGATACTGCGCAGAGAAGCCTCCAATATGTATTTTGTTGTTAACGGTATATTGTTTTTCCCCTTGTCTACTTTCCCGATAGAGTCTGGGAATTGAGTAATACGAGAATATAAAGCTATATCGAGATTTGTTCTGACAAGTTTCATATCACTGACGATACCTGGAGAAGAAAATTTGACCTTAAGAAAAATTACATGGAGAAATCCAGCTGCTATTATGAAAACCGTGCAGCACAGAGAAAATGATGCTTCGTCTATTGAGATACCTGTGTAATTTATGTCAACAGAAAGCCAATAACTTCATCATGATCTGAGAGGAAATCTCACTTGAGGGACCTTGGTCTCTCTTCTGACCTGCCAGAAGGAAGCACGCTGTATAAATTCTCAGCTCCAACGTCCCCGAAGAACTTTGGTGGGAGGCGGGGGTGGGGGACGACCTATGGCTCCTCGATGGCTGTCACTTCACGTCAGCCATCACCGGAGGCTCCCAGGCATTTGACAGAGAGAGAAGATTTATGGAGGAGCATCACGGAAGGAGCTCTGGAAACAGAAAAATATGATTTTAATGAGCATTCTTCCCGAGACCAAGGATGGCATCTGAAATTGACGTGTTGAAATTGATAATGTTTCTCCAACACATGGAGATTCATCTGGTCTTTTTTTTTTTTTTTAAAATTGAATCTTAATGCAAGTTGCCTAATTAATCTTTTGACTCCAGTTTCTCTACCTGGATATAGCAGATATTTATATTAGTCTGAAACCACAGGCGTGCAAACATGATTGCATAATTTTATTTTCTGTCAAATGAGTTATTTTTTGACTGTAGACTCCCAGCTCTACTGTCTTGTTTTGAAATGCCAAGTCACGGGGAGCATCCTTTCGTGATCGGTTCCCTGGGGTTCCTGTGGACACATCCACAGCCCACTCTGCTGCTTCCTTGCCACCCCAGGGCCCGGAGTCCTTTGTGTGACTGCCCATGGTCTTATCCCATGGTCACACTGATTCTCCTTCGAGGTTCTGATCCCTCACTGGGTCTCCACTTGGACCTCAGGGGTTCCCAGAGCCTACCGAT